TATGGTGGAAATAAACTGGCCCTAAAATTGCGTAAATCTGCAATTATTATTATATTATTATTATTATTATAATCTGCAATATTATGTGTTAGTTTCTGCTGTTCCAATGATTGAATTATGTACGACATCAATATTTCATTCACTAAACAATATTTCACTAAAATATGTGAATAAAAAAAAAAAAAAAAAGTCTAGTTCCTCGTAATAAACACTAGTGTAAAGAGGCCGCAAAGCACTATTTTAGCTAAAATCTAGTAAGACACACCGCTTCATGCGATGACAACAGCATAGTATCTGGGATATTATTTGTAGGTTTCCTGTTAGTTTGTATATTTTATATTCTATAGTTGCTTGTAAAAGTGATAGGGGTGGATAGCAAGCAATTATCTAATATTTATGTTACTTTAATAATGTACAGTTATAACTATGATAGGAATCCCTTACTGTTGGTGGTGATTTGTCTCTCTTCACCAATGGTTCATCATCAGAACTTTCATCATCAGAAATAACTGAAAATTAAATTGACAGAAAAAGATAAGATAAACTGAGGCATGGAGAAAGAATAATCAGAACATGACAAAAACCTTGAACATGTGCATGAGAGTGTTTGGAATACCTGTATATGAGACTCAGTTAAATTGAATGTTTTGATTGGGTGCCCGAGAAGCTGAATCCACCAATCAGTACTCCTGTAACAACTCACATCAATCTCAAATTCTGTTGTCTTATATCGCACTCTAAACAAATTTGTCACTAAAGGGATGATTCAGTGAAAATTAAATCCATACAAAACACCCATAAAGTCTTTCTGCGAAAATTAATTCCAGCTAAAATAATTTAAAAGTATTTTACAGTCACTGACAAAAACACACAACTTTACATTTGATTTCCCATGGAAACGCACCACAACAAATGACTTTGTGTTTCATTTACCATGAAAACGAATCAGAGAATGCACTGTTGTGTTGGATCAAAGACAGTGTATACAGGTTTATATTGGGAATTCTGCCAAAGTATAATGGTAAGATGGCGACCGAAATGAACCTTGGCTGTCAAAGAAGGCGACATTCATAACATGCACACACTATGGTCAGACATGAGGTAATCTCCTTAAAATTAACAACACCATATACCTTTAGCTTTCTTGGCTTTTTTTGGGGTTTCCTTTTTCTTCTCTTGTTTTGGAGACTTCTCTTTTTTAGCTTTCTTAGTTTCTTTTTTTACCTTTTGTGCAATTTCTTTCCGCTTTGGCGTACCCTGTGTCTTTTTAGGAGACTTTTCTTTTTTCTGGTTCTTTTTCTTTGGTCCCTGTTAAAATACAGATTAGTTCAACAAGGTTATAACTTGGAATTTAGCTGTTCAACAGTCCTCAATATTCAATTGCATTTTGATTTCTCTATGACAAATGAGGTCACTTTTTCAAACGAATAAAGTTGATTGGTGGCATCATGTTTTTCACTCCTGTATTCGTGCATGACAAAAACACAAAGTCTTGAGTTTAATCTGTCTGTCTGCTTTTTCTAAGGTAGCAACCGCTAACTCAATGAAATTTGGCATTATTACAGACACACACTAACATAGTGATTACACATTGTCAGATTTCAAATTTGTCTTGATGGATTTTGAGCCATGTATGTTTAATATATCAGAATATATTTGCAGCTGCACTTTATGTATGGTTTTTATGAAATATTTACAGAATTATCAATTATTAACAAATCAAATTCTATTCCAATTTTACATGGCAGATTTTGTTTATTAGCAAAAATATAGACAGTGATTATGTATGTTAACAGTATTACACATCATACTAACTTCAGAATCCTCCGTCACGTTATCATCATCATCGCCATCATCATCAGATACAACTTCCTTCGATTTTGGTGACTTTGCTGACATTTTTCGCTTTTTTTTCTTGGGTTCCTTTCACAAAATTAAAAAGGGCAGATAAAATCACGATTAGAACAGCCTTGATAGAAAACGGTGTATCAATTATAAGAGCAACAGAGAAAAAAAACTAGAGATTTGGTGAATTTTGGTCTTGACGATCACTATTGTGAGCCAAGACAAATTACAGATCACAGTATAGCTACAAAATTGTATAAAAATCATGCTTTTAACTTGTTACTAGGGGTTTGATCAAGGTTGCTATGGCTACCTGATACTCATCAATGTTATTGAGATGCATTGTTTGGGAAGATGCAAACCATCAAAATAGTACAACTTAAGAAAACACATTGTTTCTATGGAAACTCACCTCGGTTTCATCCTCTTTCTCCTCACTTTCCATCGTATCTGCATCATCTTCCTCCTCCTCTTCATCTGAATCATCACTGTCATCACTAATGGTATCATCTGCCTCTGATGACTTTTTAGTTTTCTTTTCTTTTTTCTCCTTTTTAGGTTTCCCCTTCCCACTTGCTGTTCGTTTTCGCTTTTTTGTTTTTTTTCCTGGAGATTAGAGAAGAAAAAATTATCATTTTTCATGCTACAACTTTCTTGGC